ATTGGCCTTAATATGCACTGGTTCATAAGTGTGAAATGATGGTAAATTGAGATGTTAAAATATGAGAGGTACACCTAAAATTATACCGATAAAGTTTATCCAGAATCTTAACAACTTTTAAAAGCCATACAAACTAAGCAAAATATATGGCATAGTTGAATAAAAGATCTATATAGACGCTACTAGTTATGTAAGAATATGCTTTAAACATTTTATTAAGCTCTCGTTTGGCCATAGATTTTGGCTTCATTTTTTCAACAAAAAAATATAAAAAATTGAAAACATCGTTTGTTTATGAAATATGATAACGTTTTGGGGGAAAAAAATTTAAGTTCCCAAAAACTGGTTTAGGGTAGTTTCTGGGTAATTTTTTTCTTCCACTCACAAAACTTCAACTTTGTTCAAATAAAATTCATGTCCAAACACAACTTTAACTTTAAAAAATTATTTTTAAGTATAACTTGTCGCGCCCTTTTTTTCCTTTTTGACGGGGAAGTCCGGGTTTCGACATTTAGGGGAGAAACAACTCGTTTATTTTAGGAAATTGGGTATTTGAAGAGTCGCCACCTAACGGATTATGGTACGTTAGGGCATCTTAGAGCAATTAACTAATGGACTACTTTGCATTACCAGAGATCTAGGGTAAGGGCTCGAAATAACCTTGAGGAGAAGGTGTTAGGCAGCCCTCGTGGTCCACAACGGTGAGTCCCGGTCGAACATAAACTATATGAATTAGTCATTTTAAAAAATAAATAGTTTTAACACGTACTTGAAAGTAAAGGCATGTTTTTGACATTTTAAGCACATGTATGATTCAAGTAATGGAACAAGGGAAAGGGTTCAAACAAGTTGCACATATAAAGAAAAGTATATTTATTTAAACAATGGGAGTCGGGAAAGAGGGGTCCTAGATTGGTTAGCCTATAGGATCATACCCACACAATGTCCGGTAAACACTCCTCAACGAGGGGTTACACGTAATATTAGCACGTGGTCGTCATATTCCTTACTACCCAATCCCTTCCCCTAGTCATAGCCTAAAGCGTTCTAGCAACCTTGAAAGATATCTTATGCGTGCACTACCCGTCCCTTCCTTGTGGCCCTGGAGGTATTTAGGACCTCTAATTTAGGTAGTTCTAGACCATCCTAAGGTATTTAAAGGAAAAAAGTCTAAGCGTCAATCAAAATAATTAGGACTACACTTAAAGAGGGAACAATTAAAGGCTCACATTTACCTCCACAAACATAACAAGTAAGTGCACATCTCAAACAATAGTTTCAGGTATTTAAGAGAAAACTTTAGAACATGATATCTAGGTGAGCAGAGAGCATACAGTATTGAATTAGGACCAAAGTATCAAAGAACTAAATCCTACTTGCCTACTGATTCTTTTAAACCTGTTGAATGTTAGCAGTCTCAAATAACAAGACGCAGTTTTATCGTTGCAGGGTTTTAAGCGTCCTATAGGCTTGCCTAGGCGTATAATGGTGATGTCATATGAGCATGATATCTATTACCGATTAGGGATGTAACTAAACATCAAACATTTTTAGACGGTAGTTTGGATCCTATAGGCATACTTTCTAGCAATATTATTTAGGTAGCATTGAAACTTATTAAAGAAGTGGACATATTAGTTGATTAAACCAATTCAGAATAAACAAACATAAATTAAACTGATTTTCTAACTAAACTAGTTTTAAGTCATATAGGCATGATTTCTAATTAAACATAATGTGAAGCAAGCAAAATTCATTTGACCAAAGTGAAACCCCTATAGGCATGATTTCTATTAAAGCCGATTTTAACTCATATAGGCATGATTTCTATTAAAGCCGATTTTAACTCATATAGGCATGATTTCTATTAGAGCCGATTTTAACTCCTATAGGCATAATATCTAATAGAGTTGATTTTAACTCCTATAGGCATAATATCTAATAGAGTTGATTTTAACTCCTATAGGCATGACATCTAGTTATTAGATGCTGATTTAGATCCTATAGGCATGGCTTCTAATTGCGTGGAAGTAAAGCAAACAGAACTTATTTTAAACCAAATCATATCCTATAGGTATGTCATCTAACAAACACATTTGAATCAACATGGACCTTATAGCATGGTATCTACCCAATTTTGCCCACAATATATAACTACCCTCCCTTTTTCACTAATCACACCACTTTTGTTTACAATAGTTATTACAGACCAATGATTACATAAGTAGAACAGAAATTAATCTATAGGGAACCTGAAGTAGGCCCAAATGATTTCCAAGCCTCCAGTAGTCTCAAATGCCCAAAGTTCCATAGCCAATTTCATGTCTAGGTGTGTCAGAGTTCTTTAAGGACCTCAAGGATCCTGGGCAGTGCTCATACCTAGACCTTTCCCAAGTAATAACTAATTTATGTGCAGTGTGGAAGTGCCAGCCCTGATATGTCAGAGTTCAAAGAGATCTCAAGGGTCTTTAAGCAGTACACATACCGGAGGGGCATGACCTAGTATTATAAGAGTAAGTGAAAGTGCATAATGGTTTGAAAGGGTTTAAAAGAAAGGTTTTAGGACTGAAAAGAACTTCCGAAAAACCATTAGTGATAAAACAATTTGAGAAAAGTGTAAGAAACCATTTGCAATTAGAACACAAGTCATAAAACAAACAAGCTTTATGAAGCACTTTGGCAAAAAGCTTTCACACGAGGGAAGAGGGGTTGGGAATATAGAGAGTACACCTTAATGGAACACACAAATAACAGGATACGTAGAGTTTGAGGAGTTCTATGGAACTAGTAGATTAGATAAAAGCAGGTCATGCAGCAAAGGATCACAGCATAAACATGTTGAAGCCACTCTGGAGAGAGTAACTTTGCAGGAGTAAGGCAAAACAAACAAGGACTTAAATGGACATGCTAGGCAAGTGTTAACAAGTGTAGGCATGCTAGTTACACAAAAAGCAGAGTTTAGGCATGCTAAAGAAACAATAGTCAGCCAAACAGGCTAGCTATATATGTAGACATGTTAATCAAGATAGCAGACAAGCAAGTAAAGTAGAAACATGTTAATCACATATTTGAATAGACAGTATTTGGCATGTTGGGTAAGCAATAAATAGAAGCAAGAATGGACTTAGGCCATATGAACTAAGACAGTAAATAAATACATAGGTTTTGATTCTTGAAATTAACTAGAAGCATACCTAGTTAAAGAAAGAAAACACAAGATATGAGCAGGGTATTGTGCAATTCCCAGCCTTGCTTTGCAGCCGGCTACAATAACAGGGATTACAAGTAGCAAAGAGAGCAAAGAGATAGCCTTTTAGAGTGTAAAGGGATAGTTTTTGAACTATTGTTCATATCTAGAAGTTAAACTAAGAGGGAGTTTATATAGTAATCAAGAGCAGAGCAAATAAGGTAAAGCAATCAACAATCAATAATCAAGGAATTTTAGAGTCAATTACACAAAGATTCAACATGATTTCCTCCCTTAATTAAGGAAAAATCAACCAACAATAATGACAAAGACTAAACAAAGCAACAAGTTCAATCAGACCAAGTAAAGAAGTAGGAATCATAGATCTTATTAAGGAAAGGAGTTCCAACTAAAACAAAGAATTTCAGAATAGAGAGTCAACGTTTTAATTAAGGAAAGGAATCATGCAAGGAGTCAGCAAGTATCGCGGACAATTTCAAATAAGGCAAGAAAGGAATAGTTAGGAAACAGATTGATAAATCAAGAGTTCAAATCAACACTGATTTAAGGAGAAAAATAGGTTTACTATGAATAGCCAGAAAGAACATAGACATATAAAATCAGTAGAAAAGTTGAACCAAGAAACTCAGCAGAGGCATATTAGGATAAGAAATCACGAGACATCTAAATGGCTAAAGAAAAATCACAGGAACCAAGCAAGAGCAAAGCCAGTACACAAGTAACTCAGAAACCAAACAAAAATGTCGAAAAATTAGCGCTTTTAGTATAAACGAGTTAAGGTTAGAGCAAACCTTATGAAATCGATTAAAACATATGAGAAACAAAAGATTAAACACTTAAAACTATCAAGCATTATTGGAAAAGAAATTTTTGGGAAACCCTAGTTTATTCGAAAATCAGAGGATCATTGTAAAAATCAGAAGGTGATTCGTAAAAAAGAAATCATATGAAATAGGTCTAAACATCTCAGATCTGTACATATCTAAGAAGTATAGAAAGAAGAATTTCGGGTTTCGAGAAGAACAACACAGAGGTAAAGGAGCAAGCTTAGAAACCCATAGATATAGGAAGCTCTTACTCAAAATCACACCGGAACAACCCGAAACTAGGCAAGAATGGGCCATAGATACAAGCAGACTGACCCTGGTCCCTTGAGGACCCTGGAGATGATGATACCAGTACAAGAGAAGTCATTAGAGGCCTGAGGGGTGGTGAGAAGCCACCATAGATGGCCATAAATGAGTGATGACGAGGTCTGATTAGGGTTAGGTTTGAGAGCATTTGAGAGATGAGAGGATTAGGTGACGGCGAGGACGTTGAGGGAAATGAGAAGGTTTGGGG